AATTTCAAAAAAAGTCTTTTTGGTTCTAGTGGTCATATAATTTTTTCTTAACCTGTAAGTCTAGTGTTAGTAATCAGTTTTTTAAAAGACATGGTACTGTATTAATAGGATATACCTTACTTAGTCATTGTATAATTTTAAGTGATATATAATTAATAATTTATGATTTTTCTGAGTTTATATGGAGCTTCATTTCCTTTTAAGGTATCAGATTTAAATTGGATTTTCTTAATAGACAAAACTCATAATAAACTTTTAAATATTTGTGTCTTACCTCCTGCTAGTTCAACCATACAACTAAATTTTAAATTATATAGCTTTGTATAAGGGAAATAAGGTAAGATTTGATTGTGGGACATGTACTTGGTTAAATTTTTGAATAGATGGTGAACTTGTACAGAAATTTGTAAATAATTAGGTCTTTTTTCTTCCAAGGTATCCTTTGTGTGGCAGATCAGTGTCATGGCTTACGTGAACTGGCCCTGAATTACCACTTGTTAAGTGATGAATTGCTGCTTGCTTTATCTTCTGAAAAACATGTTCGATTAGAACATTTGCGCATTGATGTAGTCAGCGAGAATCCTGGACAGACACACTTCCATACTATTCAGAAGAGCAGCTGGGATGCTTTCATCAGACACTCACCCAAAGTGAACTTAGTGATGTATTTTTTTTTATATGAAGAGGAATTTGATCCATTCTTTCGGTATGAAACACCTGCCACCCATCTGTACTTTGGGAGATCAGTAAGCAAAGACGTGCTGGGCCGTGTGGGAATGACATGCCCTAGACTAGTTGAACTAGTAGTGTGTGCAAATGGATTACGGCCTCTTGATGAAGAGTTAATTCGAATTGCAGAACGTTGCAAAAATCTGTCAGCTATTGGACTAGGGGAATGCGAAGTCTCGTGTAGTGCCTTTGTTGAGTTTGTGAAGATGTGTGGTGGCCGCCTGTCTCAGTTATCCATTATGGAAGAGGTATTAATTCCTGACCAGAAGTATAGCTTGGAGCAGATTCACTGGGAGGTGTCCAAGCACCTTGGTAGGGTATGGTTTCCAGACATGATGCCTACCTGGTAAAGACCAAGTGATGTAAGGAATGATGAATAGCACCTTAACTTTAAGCATATTGTATTATAATAAAAGTTTATTTCCTGTAGTTCTGATGTAATTCTATTTTGTGGCACGGAAGTTTAATATTGAGTATATATGGATTGTTTATTGGAAGGCCCATTGACCACTTTTGTTCAGAAAACTTCATCTGTTTCTTTAGCCTAATAGCAGTCAAATTGCAGAAAACTTATTCAAATTTGACTTCAAAACTTAAAACTGATTCAAATTTGAAAATAATAACCAGTTATAAAGATTAAATATTTCACAGTTCAAAGTAACAAAACCTATACATAATAACCAAGAAGTGAGTACTAATAGGTTTGCCAAAACATTGTCTATGCATTTTTTAAAAATGTAAACCTGACATTTTAGGGTCTTCAGTTATACATACACCTGTTATAAGGTGTTTAATAATAGCTCAGGAAAGTGAGCATTTTGTGAGAAAAATGTAGGATATTTTGTATCTAATGAAAACAAATTAGTTAAATGTTCTCAAATATTATAAAGCTGTTTAAGAGGTATAAACATAATTGGAACAGTTAGGAATCTGATATGTATCACACAGTGGTTATAGTAGGAAACAGCCGAGATCAAATTAAAAGAAAACAAACAATAGGGAGGCAATGTTTAGCTTTGTATAAACTTTCAGTTTTGCTTTGCAGTCTGCTGCACCACACAAATTCTTTTCTGCAACATGTTACTATGTATGTGTCACTTGAGGCATTGTATGTGAAGTAAGGAATGCTTTTCCAGTTCTCCTTGGTTTTGTTTATCTTTGTTTAAACTAGTTTTGAAGAATTATACAATAATTGAAATGAAAAATTTATTTTAAAAAGCTAAATTTAAATAAAGATAGGATTTTAAAATACTTAAAATTATTTCCATGAAAGAATATTGATCTCCAGTAAACTTTAGTGATGGCTCATTCTTCCATTTTGGAATTATGTAGTTATATAAGTAGGACTTAAAAAATCGTTTTTAAAAAAGTACCAGTGTATAGTTCAGCATAAACTGTAAATTTAAAAGAAGATATATTTAAGTTTATAATCATTTTTGAGTAAATAGTGCTCAGTGGACTGGAAAATTTTTAATAGAACAGTGTCTGCAGTTGTGTGATTATTAATTTGGTTAAACTGACATTTTATATTATTTAAGTAAGGTATCATTTTTATTACTTTTCATATAAATGAAGGTAATCCATAGATTGTAGAGTCTGTAAAAGTAAGTTCTGGACAACATTTAGTTTTCTAGATATTACGTAAACTGATTCTGAGCACTAATGCTAGTAGATACTACCCTCCTGAGCAAAATCGGGAGAGACCTGCCCACAGTGGAATGCGGTAATGCTTCCAACTTGGAGAAGGCGTTGCAGTAGTTGTAGGCACTAATAGTCTTGCAGATCTGATCTATTTTAAAAAATACATTACTTCCCTAAGAATAAAGTAAAAGGTGATTTTCTACATAATTTTTGCCTTTTAAAAGTGATGGTATCTGGCCACATATAAGTGAGAAGAAAAAAGGATGACGTAGACTTGGAAACTAAAAGTTATGATTATACTGTTTCCCCCTCTTATACTAAAAAAGCATTGATTGTACCAGAACTACCTTTGTTAGTGAGTGAAGCTTTTTTCCCCTTGCACAATTTTTGGAAAATGGATATGACAAATATAATCAGTTCTACTAACCAAAGCTTTATTTGGAGATTTACTTTTTGTACAAACGGAATTATAATAATGCTTGAAATATTTTAAGTCACTTTATAAGCAAAATGTATAGCACTTGTTTATATTGTAAACTATGTGTTAAATGCTTTTATCAATTTAAGAATAAAGATAGTTACTAACACTGTTGTATTTCAGTTTTTTAAAAACTTCCCTAACATGTACTTAATTGATTTTAAAACAAGTTAAACTTAAAATTTATGGTTTTAGTTTCAAATCCATATTTGATGAATATAATATTTAACATTAATCTTTATAGTAAAATGGTTTTTGTGTTAAGCAAATGGAATCTATTGTTGAAATAACTGCTGGTGCCTCAAGTGACAGGAAATTAAAAATTGACCATAAAATGTAAATTCTTCCAATTTTGTAAAGAAAATGATTAAATTAAAAAGAAAGAATAGGTTCTTTGTACATTTAGAGTAAGAATGTATAAAACAGGTTAATTAGGAATAGAATTCTTAGGGTCCTTGAACCCAGCTAGCCTGTTTAGAGAGAGGCCATATAAATCCATACAATCAGAATAGTTTTTATTTGAACTGTTGTAATTATTTTTACCACCTGTCTTAACAGTTTCCATAAAATAACTTCAGTACCTTAGTAATCTGGGCTGTTTCAACATTATTATCAGAAAAAAATCAGGCATGATTGAAGATAAAATCAGTGCACTGCACTCAGACAATTTTTGTCATTATAGAAAAGTTTAGGATGAAAGGGAGGGGTTGACAGGAAGAAGGAAGCCATAAGGAATCTCCTCCCCCAACACAGCTGGGAACAGTCTGCATGGAGTCCAACCCCAGGATAACAGTGGGGCTTTTTTTTCCCTAAGATGAAGGAATTCATTGTGTTCTTCATAAGATCATGTTTACATTTATTGTGGTAAACATTATAAGGTTCTTTCCACAGTATTGACTTAACTATAACATCACTCAATATTCAGAATTCCTACCCATAAAGAAACCAAAACTGGAAAATTCCATCATTCTATCGTCCTAGGATATCATCCTTCATTTGTAGACAAAGATTTGGGTTTCCGAATTTCTTTGATTTGGAAAAATTGGTCATTGTACTTATCCTCTATAAAAAATGTCCAGAAGCTATTGTAATAGAGTTTTAAAAGTTGAAAAGGCCTAATGAAAGGCTTTGAAGGTGAAGGAAGGGGTCACGAACCAAGGAAAAGCAAGCCTCTGGAATGTGGAAAAGGCAAGGGGTTAGGAATTCTGTCCTAGTACAGTCTGAAGGAATGAAGCCTTCCAGTGAAAGGTCATTTTATTTTATTTTTCAATTACAGTTGACGTTCGGTATTATTTTATGTTAGTCTCAGGTGTACAGCATGATTAGAAAATTATGTAACTGAAGTGATTCCCTAATAATTCTACTACCCCATCCGGTGCCATACATAGTTACGGTGATATTGACTCTATTCCCTATGCTGTACTTGACATCCATTGACGACCAGTTTATTTACACCTGTTAATCCCTTCACCTTCTTCACCCAGCCCCTCAACTCCCCTCCCATCTGGCAGTTTGATCTCTGTATCTGTGAGTCTGTTTTGTTCATTTTTTTCCCTTAGATTCCACATGTAAGAGAAATCATAGGGTGTCTTTCTCTGACTTAACTTCACTTACCATAATACCCTTTAGGTCTATCAATGTCACAGATGTGAAGATTTCATGCTTTTTTATAGCTAAGTCATATTCCATTGTATTATATATGTACCACTTTTTATCTACTTATTGATGGATACTTAAGTTTGCTTGCATAGCTGGCCTATTGTAAATAATGCTGCAATGAACATGCGAGTGCACATATCCTTTCAAATTAGTGTTTTGGAATTCAGATATATACCCAGAAGTAGAATTGCTGGGCTGTGAGGTGGGTCTATTTTTAATTTTTTGAGGAACCTCAACACTTTTCCATAGTGGCTGTACCAACTTGCAGGCTCTGTGGAGCTAGTTTAATGTTACCAAGCAGCCAGAAAAGTTTTATGGGTTTGCTGGCACCTAACTTTCCTTTAAAAAAGGACACAAAACCTTTTTCCTCAAAGTGAATTAAGAGCTTATCTTTAGAATAATCAGTCCCATAAAAAGATACATAATAAATATCCTCTCATTTTTTTATTTATTTTTTTTTAAGATTTTATTTATTTATTTTTAGAGAGGAAGGGAAGGAGAGAAGGAGAGAAACATCAATGTATGGTTGCCTCTCGTGCAACCCCTGCTGGGAACTGGCCTGCAACCCAGGTATGTGCCCTGACTGGGAAGCAAACTGCCATCTTGTGGTTCGCAGGCCCGAGCTCAATCCACTGAGCTACACCAGCCAGGGCTTAAATATCCTCTCATTTTAAATAGGGGGGAGAGAAAATGTAGAAAGTTTGAGGAGCAGAAAGGTACTTGGACAATAAAGGGTAAATACGAGGAAGGTACTAGAAACAAACTTTGGCCAACCATTTGTCTTTGTCTGTGAAAGGGGAAAAACGGTGTAGTTTTGGAATGTTGCTTTGCATAACATGCCTACAATTTAAAAAAATAAAGTCATCATCTTAAAGGAACTGCAGTCCCAAAGAATTCATGAAGTGCCACCAGAGCAGATTATAAACTGAATGGGACTTCCTAATTTTTATTTTTTCTGATTTCTAAGATAATTTTGATTTAAGGTTCCAAATACTTAAGTTTAATAGTTAGTTTTACCTTTTGACTATATTCCTGCACCCACAAAAATGTATTTGATGTCACTTTGTGGGTACACATACTCTAATGCTAAGGCAGAATTAGTCAGTGAGGATATATTTATCGTGTAAAGCCCTTATATAATTCAAACTTCAACAAAATGGATTCTCTTAGAAGTAGAGGAAATTTCATTAATTTACAACTTAACAGAAAACTGGCAATCACATTTAAGTTATACAGCAACTTAAAGGCCCACAAAGCTAAATTGGCAAATTCTGCCTGGCCATGTTTTGGTTTCCCAGCTCTCATTTTGAAAACGGTCTTGAAATCATCTCTATTCCAAAGCCCTCTTTTAACTTGTAAGTTCAGCTCACAGGTTTAGTAAGTTCTTAAGAAGTACTTACATGAATGCAATGCTCTCTATGCTATAGTCACCTGAGTCTGTTACCTTCCCAGAACTCTACTGATTAATATTCTTAGGAACAATGAAAAATCTTAAATTTTTTTTTTACATAACTTAGAATCTTGCTTTTAAGATTTGAGGTTCATGTAAAGATGTCCTCATTTGTCTTTGCTATGGGACCAAGTTCTGTGGTTCACAGCACAAACAGCACAGGAATTTGTGCTCGTCACCCCAATACAGGTCTGGAAATCCAAAAGTGTTTTCAGGGAGCACCTTGCCTAAGAATCCAGGGAAGCTTGGCATTGCCCAATTTTAGCCACTAGATGGAGATAATGCAAAGACACAAGTTCTCAGTACTTGACTAAGCCTGCAGCAGGCCTGGAAGTGCAGCTTCTAAAGCCCTCTATAGTAAAGGGTTGAGTTTTTCTTTACAGACTGCCGAATGGTGCCTATTGTTTTGAAAAACAATAAAAATAAATTCTGGGAAAAATGAAGTAAACAACATAAAATACAAGCCCAATTTTTAAAATTAGAGTCAACAGAAACAAAATTACTCCAAGTTGCTTTAAAAGTCTAAATGCTTCATATCCTACAGACCAGTAACGTCTGGTATTAGTGACATACGATGCAGGCACTGCTCTGAGGACCTCACTAATGCTGGAAGTCTTAACACTTCATAGTGCATCCCATTTAGTGGAACCTGGGTCAAAATGTGGCTCTAGTATCACTCGCTGGGTAGCTATTGAAGATCACTTAAACTCCACGCCCTGATTTACTCATTTGGATCAGGTAAATAATATTCCATGCTTAGGCTTCTCATGAGAATTCAATGGTCAATTCAGGAAGCAATCATATCTTAGTACAGCCTGAATAATATAACTGGTACATTGAATACTAAACACTTATCACTGCTTCATCGTCTTACTGACTGGTGTTTTTTCCATGAATAGAGACAATGACTTCAGTTGATCTTCAGACACTTAAAGGGCCCTGCAATCTTGTTTGATAGCCCTGATTGGAAGCACAGCTACTTGGAGATCCCCGACAAAGCTGTCCTCTCAGACATTTACCCTCTTCCTCTGAGCTGGCAGCTTTAGTGGGCAGCCCAGTGGGCTACAAGGCCATGTCCGCAGTCAGCTACTGCCATGCCCCACGTTCGAACTGCAGAAGTACTATGCTACCAGCTCAAAGTCTAGGCAATTATTACAAAACCCATGAGAGGCCTTCATTAGGCAAGATCCAGGATGGCAGTTCATTCTTTGATTATAATAGTATGGCTACCATTTAGTGACTTGTTATGCCAATCATACGTGGCCTCAATCTTTACAACAATCCTGACAGATGAATCATTTTAGGGATAAGGAAACTAAGGTTCAAAGATGTTCAGATTCCTAAATCACACACTGCTGGTCACTGGCTGGTTCTGAAATGCTAGCCAAACCCTTGTGCACTATGTCACCATATTTACTACATTTGGAACTGTTACTGGTGGAAGTGGGGTTCTTGAGGTATCAAGAGGAAAAGAATTTCCTGAGACTTGAATAGGAAGATGGGGGTCCATGATGAACTTTATTGATGATGTAAGATTAAGGGGTTTCTGACTTCCCAGTGTCCCATCTCCATCTGTCTCGCCATGGAAAAAGTCCAGTCTCGTCTTTAGTAGGGCCGGGCTGAAGGCCACTGCTCAGAGTTCCTGCTCCATATTCAAGTCCAGCGCAGTCCAGCATGCGGCTAGCTCAGCATGGGTTTCCAGCTGCGGTTTGTTGCTGTGCTGAGGAATTCAGGCTCCCTCCAGGAGCCCACGTGAGGAGTCCCCAGGGCCATGGGCCATGTGGCTGCTAAGATCACATGGCTATGGAGAGAGAATGTATGAGTTCATGGGGGACAGCAGGTCCCCAGCCAGAGAGACAGCAAGTTCTTTGTTCCCCTGGGGTTTGAACCAGGAGGTTGGCTTTGGGACGAACCAGGTGCTTGCTCAAAATCACCAATCAGCTTCCCAAGTTTTCATGCGCTTTGGATGAGTGCACAGCCCCTAGTTAGACTGACAGGCTTCTATGGTCCAACACCTCCCCTGTGCCCCCAACAATCAGGAACCGGAGTGGGGGGAGGGAGAGTGTTAATCTTGTGGAAGCAATGCTATGACCCCTGGGGTGTGAAGCTGTAGCTTCCTGGTGAAGCAGACAGGCCTGAGCTCTCCATTATATTGAGCTCAGTCTCCAGTTCCCTCCGCTCCCCTTTCCTACTAATTAGTTAAAAACCGATGGTCGGAGAACCACAACCACTGTAGCTATGGTGTCCAAATTAATCTTTAAGCGTAAGGAAAAAAATCAAATTAATAAAGCAGTTCCAAAAGTCGCAAGAGCTGTAAAGTCAATGTGAACTACCAAAAAGTACTTAAATAAAAAAGCATAACTACCATACCAGAAGAAAAGTAGCTCCTACCATGAAATGTCACTGAGGGTAATTTTAAAATCTTGGTACATCATATTCAAATTTTTAAATGTTGGCTCTAAAAAGCCTGTATAGCTGATATAAACTTTAATTCTCCATATCAATAAAGGGTTGGAGACTGAAGTTAAGATCATGTTATGTATTCACTCTGGCGAACACTATAGAGTTTCAATTTCTTTCCAAAAAATTCCTGAGGTATTATTATGCAGCAGTTCTGCCCCTGTGCATTTTACCTTTATGCTCCAAGGAAGAAAGACCTAAAAAAATACACAAATGTAAAAACACTCCATGAAAAACTGATATGCTGGTGGTAGGGAAAAAAGCATGAGAATAAAGATCTCATAGACCAGAGATTGTCCTGTTTCTGTCAGGTAAAGGGATTTCTTCATATGTTATTTTAATAAAAGGGAATTTCATAGGTAAAAACCAATATTCAAAATTATAAAACAAATAGAACTGTCTGTGTATAATTACTGCATCAAAAATTTTCAAGAGACTTGAGAGAAATTCTTTAGTTGACAAATGTGGTTTGAAGGGGTAATAAAATCTTTTTATGTCTAAAGCAAGAGTCTTGTTTCCTATTGGCCCAAAAATAGAGGTTTCATTTCCCAAATAAGTAGGTTCTCCACTGTAAAGAAATATTCTTGTGTAGTTGGTTTCTATCTTCTTGAACTCTGCTCCAAGTTCAGCCAACTTCTTATATGTCCTTAACACAAATTTGGAACAATCGTAGGATTCGAACCATGTCTCCGCCCCCTTTTCTGGGCTGGCTTGGATGGTCCATGTCTCATAATAAATTCCTGTTTCATTGTCCTGTTTTACCCACTTCGCCATTTTGTTAAATGTGTTTCCTAGTGAAAAATAAATCACTTTTGTGAATATCAAAGCTAATAATGTTAGTTTCAAGTAAAATGTTCTGACCAGATTAAGGCCATGAATATACATAAATATATGACAGTTTTTGAATTTCCAAACCTGCATCTCATGAAAAAACTCCAACCTCAGCCAATTTTATTCCATGTTCAAGGCACAAAGTATTTCTGAATTGTACACATTAGATATAATAGGCATATAAAAAGTCATATAGACTAATTCTATAATCACTGAAGCTACAGCCAAACACAAAATTATATACATGCAGAGACTCTTTCTCTACCCTACTTAACATATTTTGTATTCAGAGGTAAAAGAGAAAAAGAAAGCAAGGGAAAGTTGTAGAAGAGGAAGGCGTGAACGGCAAAGACAAGAACCGAGGAGGGCGAGATGCGGAGCTTTTCCGTCACAAAGCGTGGTGTGCGCACCGCGAGGAGGCTCCTGAGGGCCAGCTACGGAAGGCAAACACCATACGCCATCCACCTGGAGTATTTGGTATTTATTTTTCCCCTTGGTACTTGCAGCTATTGGGGTTTTGCTTACAACCTTTCTACCCATAGCACAAATTTTTCCAATAAATCCACTAAAACTGGAAATGTTTTTGACCAGGTTCATGGACTATATGGACTCCTGGGCTCACACTCCCTCCTGCGACCTTGTACCCGCACACAGGAGACTCTAAATGTTAATGAGACACTGTACTCTGCATGGTTACGGTCTCTCTGGGCACGTACAACCCGAAAGAGCTTGGCCTCGACATTTCACTTCATCACTGTGTGTGAACCATTCTTACATCACTCCAACTTGATTCTGTATAATCAGTAAGTACTTCATGCTATATAAGTAGAATGGATAGTGCCTGCCTTTATCAATTTTATAAATTAAAATTGTGGAATAATATAACACATGTTTTCTTAAAACTAGGGATACTGTTCTCAGTGTTCTTCAACTTGGAAAAGCTAGTGCTGTTAATTAGAAGATAAGAGTGCTTCAGAATACTATTTGGTAACATGAAGAAAGACCAATGGATAAGATTAATCGCAAAGCAAATGAATAAATTGAAAGATTTAGATACTGGCATATTACAAACTATTTCACAGAAAATAGTGATCACTTGCCCATTGACCATACATTTATGTCAGCAGAAAGAATTTCAGATAATGAGGTGGGAGGAAATAAGAAAGGAGAGACATGAACTGGCCTAGAATAAAAGAAAGTGTAGCTACTTATTACACAGAACACAGTCAAAAGAGAAACAGACTTTTGTATTGCTGAGATGCTCTGGAGCAAATCGGTTAGAAAGTACAAAACACCACGGTATTCAGCTGAAAGATTAGAAAACAACACGGTGTATACTTCACAGATCCCCAGATTACATTTAGGTCACACCAATTCTGTTCCTGGTTCTACGCCAAGCTCCGAGATACCTGGCTGAACCTCAATTCCTCATTTGTGAAAAGCAGGCTATCCTATCCTCCCCACTGAACACACTCTACAAGGTTTTGTACAGAGCCACAGAGGCAGAAAGTGTGATCATTTCCTCACGTCCTAGGATTCAGTGAGTAATTGTTATCACAAACAGTGCTCTCATTATGTTTCCACTTTTGTGGAGAACAACAATTTCTAACGTAAGCTCTGTACAGGATATGGGCGAGCTCCCTACATCTAAAGGCAGTGGTCACCTCGGCCCCTTCTGCACCTGGGCAGTGAGTCAGTGAGATGAATGGGACCAAGGTCATAGAGCAAGCTTCTGATAGAAGTTCTGCTGAACTCCTTTGTCTAACACTAGCTCAACGCAACAAACACAGCAAAATTCCAGCTGTTTCATCAACTGTCAAATACATCTCAAAATGAGAAAATCTTAAAGATAAAATATTTAAATTGCTCAAGAGGCCTCAAATGCATAAGATCATGTATGTTTTGGGAGGAAAGTGGCTAAGAAAGTGGTCAACAGTGCTTGACTGCCAAGTTTGGCGTCCCCCTTCCTTCACTGTGGGACTTTGAGCTCTGTGCCTCAGTTTCTCCATCATGACAGCAATGATCTCAGGGGGCTTCTGCGAGGGTAAACGCTGTGACACCTGTAAAGCACTGGGAACTCTGCCGGGCCCAGAGGAAGGCCACTGAGTGGTGGCTGTTAGTATTTCTCAGCATAAAAACATTTTCATGTGTCATCACCAAAAGCCTCTTTTCGGGTGCAATTAACAGGTCCATTAATCAGTTATTTTTTTACAGGCATTTTATATATTTCCCTCTATTATTTAAGAAGTACAATTAAATTGTGTAAAGTGTTTTTATCATTTCATTCATTTTTACCATGGGAACAGAGGAGATAAGCTACTCATCACCACCTACAAGTGAAGTTTTTGCACGTGTAATAGTTTGGGCCAAAGGTTGCTGATTCCAGAAGTATGTTTTATAAATTGACCAGCAATTTTCAACTTTTTCCACCTCATGGCATACATGAACTAATCACTAAAATTCTGCAGCACACCAAAGTATATAGATTTTGCCAATGTGACAAAAAAATGGTATAATTTTGATTTATTCACACTGGATGGCTATTGTTTTGTTGGCTGTTGTCATATTTTCATTTGAAAATTTCAGGGAAAAGAGGTCAGTGCCCTCAACTAAATTCGGGTATTGCATGTTTTAAAAAATCTTGCGGCACACCAGTTGAAAATGGCTGAGTGCAACATCACTGAAATGCCTCAATGAAAATCATTTCTATCATTTAGACACTGATGCAATCAGAAAATACTGCCATATTTTTCAAACTTACCTGATATGGTTGCTACCTGAACTAACGTTCCATTTGCCTTCCAGTGCATATCATCGATGCCTTCAAAAAAGCAGGCAGCTCCTTGGTTACACCAGAATGGAGCATTCATTTCAGGTCGGAGGTGGGGAAATGTGCAATTTCCAAGTTGGAAAAGTTCATACCATTCCATTGTGTAGTTCTTCCCAGTTGAAGTACTTTTGAATCCAATGGCATCATGCATGATTTTCTGTATAAAGATCATACAAGTATACAAGTATTCATGAAGCAACCACAGTGACAGACCACAGCTGCAATCAACCAGTCAGCTGTTCCTTCTTCTACGTTGCCATTCTCCTGTCCACTCTGTGGCTCCTCAGATTCCAGGCCCTCATCCTCTCCAGTTGTCCACTACAGCTCATCTCAGATGGGAAGGACACAAGCTAAGTGGACACGGTCCTAACTGCCTTATAGCTCAGTATGACTAAGAAGAGCCCCAATGCCACAGTCTCAGGAAGGAACACTATGTATCTCACAGGGGAAGAGAGGCTTAAACGATGAACTCGCCTCGGAAAAGTGCCTTCATCAGAGCTTGGAAATAAAGAAGTATTTCCTGCCTGCTTTGCCACTTCCTCTGGGTCTCCTCCCTTCTTACTTTCCAAGAGCTGGGGACAGGAATTGGGTTTGGATTCAGAATACTAAAAGGGATGAGTGTAACTGCATTTGTTATTGACAAGATCACAAAACCTAATATATATATTTTTCACCACTCATTTTAAATACAGTAGGAGGAAAACAAATACACATGATCTGAAATATTCCTTCAAATCCACTTAATAATGATGTCATTTAATTAACTAAATTTAGCAGGTCAAGCTGCATCCTTACCAAGTGTCCCAGGAGGTCGCCATATTTAAATTCCCACACTGGGGCTTGTAGCCGAAAGACTTCAATGACATCATCACCCTTCAGCACAGGGATGGGTGAGCCAGTTGGACAGAAAGTATATTTAGCTTGACAGTAAGGATCTGGTGCCGGACGGAAGGAGAAGCGTCTAATAAAGAAAAGGAAACCATCAACTTAGGATGCTTTTTCTTGCACATTTTAAAGCCCAAATTTTAATTTCACATGTCAGTTTTAGGAGGTAACTTCAACAATGCAACAAGAAAACAAAGCGGCCTGTGGGAGCACTGCAATGGGCCTACAGCTAAATTCAGCTCCACACTTACTGTTCAGCTTCCATATAAGACACTGGCAGGGGAAGATGACAGAGAACAAAAGTATCGATATATGTACTATAAGAATCTGAGATCCTTAAGGTTCTAGCTGGATCTACTGTTTTACAATCCTAACACATCCACAAAATTCCTATTTTAAGTTAAAATCTTGATGTTAGCCAAAAATAGTTAACAACCCTCCTGAAAGTTTTTAAGATTTAGGTATATTTACATGTTTGATAGGTGCTTCCCTGGTTTAAACAAATGCATAACTATGCATGTTTCACCTGCCCACAACAAAACCTGTTTTAGCTCACAGGTTTTTGCAATTGCAAAAGCATAATTTAAGTGTGAACTTAATGTTTTTACATTCAGTTGAGGGTATTAGATGGCAGCATATACTTTATACTTGGAACTTTTAAACAAACTTAAATCATAGTCAATACTCTGCCCTTAAGTCAAATGGTTTTGGATTTACATTTTCCTCCTTGATTTATTGAATATTTAATTTTTATTTCTTATGAACGTCTTATCAACATTTGCCAACCTGTGAGAAAACCAACATCAACCCTAAACTTCTCATCCATGTATATCAAGCAAAGCAAGAAATGGTACAAACCACGGAGCAGAATACACTAATATCCAGGTTTGACAACAGCTGGCATTTAGATTTAACCCTCCCAACGGACCCAAGGTAAGTGCTACTACCATTCTGACGTTCTGACTCAGGACATGTGGGCACAGAGACTCTGAGTAACTTCCCAAGATCTCACAGCTAGTCATGGTGGAGCTTGATTTAATCTACAGCACTTGGATCCAGAACTCCTTCCCAACCACTAGGTAATCCTGCCTCCCAAGTCACTATTTTGTCATCCAAAATAGCTGTGCGTTTTCGAAATTTGCTCAGCTTTCCCATGCCTGATGCTGTCCCCATGTTTTCTTTCTCTCTGTTTAGCCATCCGACAATATCAGGCCAAGTAAACACTCTTCTAGGTCAAAAGTTGGAATCCGCTTCAGTTTTGCAGTCTCTGCCCTCGATTTCTGACCAGTGACTCGCCTCCTGACTTCACAGTTGACAAAGTCAATCACCTTCCGGGTTTGCCTGGGACCCAGGGAGCCAGGAAAGCCGGATCCTAGGACTTTTGGAGCTATATAAAAATGGTAAGTTCCGGCGGACCAAGCTGCAAATTCTGCCAAAAGTTAAGCACTCATGATAACTAATGATGGTGCATCATGTCATGAACGCGAAATTCAAAGCCGCCCCATACTATTCAAATAATCTAAAAAATCACGCGGTAAAACAGCATTACTCCCTTTTTCTTCGCAATTCAGGTCAGCCCTGAGCCTGTCATTTCGTCACTGGCTCAAGTGTCCCTAGTAAGAGAGTCCCCAGGACTGCACGCAACAAGCAGGGGCCACTCCTGAGCAGTCAACTTCGTCTCACACAGAGCCGTAGGTGCCACCTCCGCAAGTCATCGTGACCGCGACACCTAGCCTGAGGGGCGCGAGTCCCCCGCCCCCCAAGAGTCCCGGGCCTGACCCCAGCTGTGCGCACTCCCGCGCCTCCCGCAGCACCCCTATGGGCGCACTCACTTGTAGGGTACCGGCCACTGGCGCCGGAAGGGCAGGCCCGCGGCTGCCGCCTGCCCGAGCATCGCCAGGGCCCAGAGCCAGGGCAGGCGCCCCAGGGCCGTGCCCGCACCCCGCCGCCCTCGGACCCCGGGCCCGGTGTCCCCCGCCTGCGCCATGCGGCGGCCGCCTGTGCTTCCGGGGCCTGCCGAGTTCCGCGGAGGGCCTGCGAGGTGAGCATGCGCAGAGCCACTCCCCCATCCGGCGAGAGCTGGGGAATGCGAGCAGGTTTGGCCGGAGGCTGCTGTCCTCCCTCCGGTTCCCCTGCTGAAGGCTCTGTCACCCTGGTACCGGGAGCCTTAGTGAACGTGGCAGCGGGTCTCTGCGCAGTTCTGCCCCCTCCACCACCACCACACCCCCTTTCCCCGCACAGTGGCGGTTTCCAAACCTCCGACCCCCCAGGCGCTTGGTGGGCTGGCCTCCTAGCACGCTGCAGCTGGACTTGGGGGCTGTTCTTTCTCTAACTCGTTCGTGGCTAGTCTTCTGGCCTCACGTCTCAGTTTAAAGATCACCGGGTTTTTTTTGTTTGCTTGTTTGTTTTGAAGTTTTTCTGACCTCCCTTCAGCAACAATTATGAAAACCAAAACAAACCGGATGAACAAACAAATCCAGCTTTGCGCTCCTCTCTACCACTGAACTCTTACCCCACCATACACGCGGCCCAGAGTAGGTGACAACAAACAGTGGAGTGAAGGAGAATCTTTATTTCAGATGGTGGATGCAATGGAGAAGACAATTTTGGGGGACTGACTTGTCTTCACATGGCCTGACCGGTGATAAAAATGGCCAACACTAACAACGCGTAGCCCAGGCTATTGCTTGAAGTGCTGCCGACACACCTCCCACTCCGATGTTTTTTCTTGTTTGGCTCTACCACTTAACAAGGAAGAAGATTCTGTGTGATCTGCTTTTCTTTGACCCTTGAACCACCGCAAGAAAACAATGAGATCAGCCGCCCTACTTTATGGCCTGCCCTGCTGTTATCACAGATGTTCATTTATGACTATAAATAGAACCTTAAGTACATTGTCACTTACAGTCGCTTGTTTACAACAAATCAGCAGCATACTGGGCTCTTACACCAGGGCCTTCCAACACCTTCACGTCACCCACACCTCAACTGAACCATCATGACACTTGTAAGTATATAATAAGTGAGGTGGCTGTAATGACCAGAGTTGACCACCATGACCCACGGGAGTTTGGGATTGGGAGCGTCAGTGGCTTCCCTAGGCCTACCAGACCTTCTGAGGACTGACGGGAAGTATCTCTGACTCCAGTTCTTACTCTCTTGCCTCTACCACCAAACACCTTTGCCCACCTGCCGCACCAGGCTGGGGAGTTAGTTCTGTGGAGGTTCAGGCAGGACCCCATTTTAACACCCACTTATCTAAGCTTCAGGTGGTTCCAGTGCTAGCTCTCCTCCATGGACCACCCTCATTCAAAATCACCAAGGCTAAACCGGCCTCTCCAAAGACCACCAAAAATAAGAGGGGACAGATCTTAGCCATGAAAGCTGCAGTGTGACATCAGATTTGAAGGGCACCTGCTGGATCCCAGGTGGACTAGCACTTGAAGCTGGCTTAAATACTAATGCAAAGAAACCGTTCTCCAAAGCAACACTGTGCAAACGATGGGACCATATGCTAGACAGTCGCAGTGGAACTTCCAGTCCTGCTCAGGATGCCCTGGAACTGCAAAAGGAAGCTTCATGCTGACCTTGGTTGTTGGGGGATTTTCTGTCTTGGGTCTGCAGCTCTAACGGTGAGAAAGCATTTCCTTGCATTATCTCTAACTTAGCATCTTACTAGCTCCCATCTGCTCTGGGCTGGTTCTGCCTTCTGTTCCTCTTGGCTATGAGCCCAGCACCCCAAGGTAAAGTTGCTTCTAGAGTGCTGTTGCCTGATCCCTCGCTGTGCTGGTTACTTCTTTCTACTCTGTGGCTGTTAAAACCTTGAGGGCCCATTGAAACCTGGAGTCCTTATGACTTTGATGACTTACAACTCTACTTTGTTACTGTGTCTTAGAAGAAATAATTGTTTTCTGTTAATTTTGCAATTGGTTTTATCTGCCTTTTCTTCCAGGCTCATGAATGGCAGGGCAGATTTTTTCAGTTCAACCTAATTTTTACATTCTCACTTAGAATGTGACAGTTTTAAATTATTCTTTCAGACATTTAAAAACCAGTCGGAGACGGCATTTCACAAGGCTGCCGAAGAGGTCCACAGAACAGGAGGAAAGGTTAAGAGCCTGTGCTCTGGATGCAGTAATTTTCTGCACTAATTTTAATGCAAGAGGTTAACAATACCTTGATATTAATCAAAACCTCAACCCCTACCCCCCCCCAAAAAGCCTATGACACAAGTTTCAACCAATACATCAATATATATCAATCCTATTTCAGATTTTTATTGGCAATTTCACATACCTACACCATAATTTTTTAGATCAAAGATAATTGAAAGAATAATTTAAGTGTGAATTTAATAAAGTTGAAAGTTGTAATATTATCTTGAAGGAATTAGAAGGGATATCTGTTGAATGCACAATATTTTAAAACAACCAACTCTGGAACTCTAGTTAACATCTCACTTAATCCTATGTCAAGTAATTTTTTATTGTTATATCAAATCTCTTAAACCAGTCTTTACAATCTTGTATTTATTGAATATACAGAGATGGGCAAAAGCAGGTTTACAGTTGCATTGTGATGTTCTTTTGAGTTAATAAAGCTATTGTAATCCTCATAACCTGCCTGTCTTTTTCCATATGAACAACTGTAAACCTACTTTAGATTTTTAGATTTTCAGGGTTAGTTTGTAAACTAACCCTGAATTTTTTACAGTTTATTTTCAAGAAAACCAGCTTCAGAATGATGACCTCTCTTTTCTTCATGTATATCAAACAAAATGAAGCAACACCTACCGTTCAGTAAGAGGAAATGCACCTGTACCTGGGCCATGACACAGCCAACTTTTACTATATTTAATCCTCCCAACAACCCTACAAGAAAGGTTACTTCCCACATTCAAACTGAGGAAAAATAGGCACAGATATTGAGTAACTTTCCCAGCATTGCACAAAGTATATGAGGTCTGTCATTGATAAGTCCAGCCACTAAAAAGTCCAGCCATTGATAATATAACAAAATGGTTTGCGTGATGTTGATGTAACCTGGCAGCCAAGGAGAGGGGACTGGAATGCACATGTGTGAACAATGACAACTGCACTGTACTAGTCAATGGGGGTGGTATACACTGTTGAGTGAGCATGTGTACTGTGTGGCTGTTGCATTCAAAATGAGCAAGTAGAGCAACGAATCTGCATCATATTTTGCTATAAGTTTGAACATTCCTCCCTGGAAACTATCTTGATAATTTAGAAGGCCACGGCTATGGGCAAGTGGTGACTGGCAGATTCACCATGATAATGCACTTGTTCATGCATCACTTCTCATGCATAGTTTTTTGGCAAAACATCAAATCACCCAGGCAACTTAGCCCCCTTGCAGCCCAGATTTGGCACCCTGTGACTTCTGGCTTTTCCTAAAACTGAAATCACCTTTGAAAGGGAAGAGATTTCAGACCGTCTGTGAAATTCAGGAAAATATGATTGGGCAGCTGATGGCAATTGGGAGAACTGTGTGAAGTCCCAAGGTGCCTACTTTGAAGGGGACTGAGGCATCATTGTCCTATGCACAGTGTTTCTTGTATCTTGCACCTTCTTCAATCAATAAATGTCTCTATTTTTCATATTACATGGCTGGATACCTTCTGGAGAGGCCTTGTAGATCCCTACTAGTCAGCCCCAGAACCTGCTCCTCAGGTTCACTACCACTTTTCTCCCCGTCCACTTCCTCTCCACCACCTACTTCCCCTTCCCCTCTCCCCCTCCCCCCTTTTCACCCTCCCTTCATAAAAGAAGTGGGTGGATACATATGTTATTCACAAGCAGCTGACCCTTCCTCTGCCTGATGTTTATGCCCAGTTTATTCCCTCTTTCTGAATGTGGACTTCACTGACAGCCATGCAAATGCCCTCCAATAGCTAGAATTTACCTTTCGGGTTTTCGATTTGTCATCCACCACTTATTGGGGTTTTAACTCAGAGTCCAGAGGCTGTGAGTTTTATCCCCCATTTGCTTTAGATCAGTAGCTGCCAATCCTGACAAAGATAGACTCACCAGGTGCAGATTTCACGACATTCTGATGCACATGCTCATGCTTCACTCACGTGTAACTGGTTGGGTGTCAATCGACGCAGGTGATTCTAATATGTAGCCAGGGTTGAAAATCACTTTTGAAAGGTTTCAAGGGCGTATTTCATTAATTCTCTCATGTTTTTGAAAACTCTCTGATCTATGAAAATGGTTCCTCTCTTCTATCTTCTTAAAGAGCATATATATATATATGCTCTTTATATATATATATACACACTATATATATACACTATATATATCATACACTATATATAGTGTATGATATATGAGACATATATTCACACACACATACATATACATATATATATATTTGGAAACCAACCTCTTTCTGTTCTGCTTTTTTTTTCTATAAACTGCTTATTGCTCGGTTTGTTTTCTCTAGAAGTCCCCCACAATTTCTTTCTTGAGGCTGAGCTGTAATACATATTTGTTTTGGGTGTTGGACCTGAAGGCCTATCGAATCACTCAGTGGTTTTCTGACTTTCCATTCCTGTTTGCACTCTGAGATTGATTTGCTTGATTGTTTTCATAGTGGCAATGACATCATTTGTTTTTATTTCTATTTTTGAAGGTGAAGATATTGCTCCTAATGCCGAGCAGATGCACATGGTTAATCACTTGAAAAGCAGCCCAGCAGAAGAGAAGAGAAATGGGCTGGAGGGAAGTGCCCAGAGAGCCCGCGGCGGCCCACACGATTTGGCAGACCCAAGCTCTGGCGAGCTCGATGCTGTCATTATACCTGGTGAGTGAGCTGAAAACTGTGAGGCCAACTGTTCACTTTACTTGACACTCACTGACTTCAAAATCCTTTTCCTGAAAGGGTAGCACAGGCTCAGCTCCCATTCTGAACCCTCTGTCAGGCTGTCTGTCTCCGGGTCTCAGACTTGCTGCATGTGGAAAT